GTGGTATTTTTGGAAAATCAAAACTTAAGTGGTATTTTTGGAATATGGTAGTAATATAGTTTATAATGCTATCGATAAAAAAATTATGTGTGTGATTAAATGTAAAGCATGAGAAAGAATTGTCAATATAGAATATATAAGAGAAATTTTTAAAAATGCCACTTTTCAAATATGTCACATTTTTAAAATATTTACAAAAATACCACTTTTTCAAAAAAAAAAATTATTATATTATTTATATTTGGGTTAACTATGTTGTATTAGTGTTTAGTTTTGAAGGTTTAAAAGGTTTTAGGGGTCAAAACATTTTTTAAGATTTATAATTTTAAAATTTAGGTTTTAAAACTCCATAATTAGTGGTTTTTTTACAAATAGACATCTCTAAATGGTATTCTTGCAAATATACATACCAAAAATTGTATTTTTGCAATTGTCCCAATATCTAATTTATGGATGAATATATATATGAGTAATCTTTATATACATAAAATGTATTAAGTCGACATAAAATTTTCTCTCGATCAAGTCCAAACCATTCATTGCACATATAAGTAGAACATCACAATCTCATCATTGTTTTCTTTTTTCTTTTGCTCAAAGGTTTTCTAAGTTTCTTATTTTGATTTTTTCAAAAAAAAAAGTTTCTTATTTTGTTTCATTGCAATTATATATATTCTCTTGGTCGGTATATGAATATTCTTTGTCGCAAGTCGCAACAATAACACGTGCATAAAGCATCATATGTGGTGGAAAGTCAATTTTATTATATAAAGTTTGATACGTAATTAACATGATGATTGTGATACATGTTAAATCGGCTGATTAGATTTTAACATGTGTATATAATTGTATTTATTTTTAATAAAATTTAGCCATGCAAAAGATTATATATATTTATCTCTATTTGTAAAATAGTAAAAAATAAATTTAATTTAAATAGGATTAAAAAAATCTAAACTTAATTTAAATAAAATTAGGAAAATCTAATTATTTTGAAATATGTGGTATCAATTAATTGAGATAACAAAAAATAAATCTAATTTAAATAGGATTAAAAAATCTAAACATAATTTAAATATAATTAAGAAAATTTAATTATTTGGATTTATATAAAATTATTTAATAGCAAACAATATAAGAAATAAATATGAGAATAAAATAGATAATATTTGATAGTTTTGTTCACATTCTCAATTTTATTTTATCAGTTCATGGAGTGACTTAATTTTGTCTTCCATATATTTTGTGTTTCATTTGTGGTAAAAATAGTTCAAATACATATATTAGAATAAATTTATCAACATGTTGAAAAATAGATATTTAAGTAGTAATATAAGGAAAATAAAATTAAAAAATGTACATCTAATCTAAATATGAATAAAAAATAATTTGATTAGATGTGATAAACTTAAATTCTAAATCAAATAAAAAAAAAATCAAAATTAATAAATAAATGTTATGATTTTCATTTAATAGTTTTTCAACGTTGTCACTTTTATTTTATTTATTTTAAGGGTGATACAATTTTTTTTGGACAACTAAATATTTTTTTCCATAAATTTATAAGAGATTAAATTACAGATATAAACTAGTACATAATAAATGATACGCGGATCAGTCTCGTAAACTATAATCTCACAACAGTACACCATCACCATCAATTTACCGAAAGAGGTAATCATCAAGTTGGTCAGTCTCGTAAACACCATATGGTGATGCAAAGTCCAAACAAGAGTTATAGACTCCATCGTTGTACGACGTCGTTTGGCACTCCATTACACCAGTCTCCTCCATGAAACGCCTCATTTCTTTCTCGTCCCACATCAGAAAATCATCTTCTTGATCATCAGTAGCTATAGTATTTCCATGATCCTTCCTCAGCTCTTCTTCTTGATTACCATTGATGCTTGTGGTCATTCTCGGATCCGAAAAGATGTTCTTGATCCTGTCGACACCGTGTTGCCTAGATGAAATACCACTGGCGATCTTGTTAAGAAGACGGGCCGAGCCGGAGGAGGAGGAAGAAGAGCCGCCGCATTCGCTGTTTATCGACGGCGTTTTGACGGTGAGGTTGTTGACAATGGGCTGGTGGGTCATTGGGTCGATTCCGTTTTTCTCTAGTCTTTTCTTGAGACAAGAGTTCCAATGGTTCTTGATGTCGCTGTCTGATCGACTCGGCATCTGCTGCGCTATGACTGCCCACCTGCAATTTTCAATAACAAATCTTTTAGTGCAATATATATATATCTTTAACAAAAAAATATTAAGATCGATCAACTTTTTATTTAGTTTATAGAATTATTTGATTATCTAAACTTTTTTCAAAAACCGACATGTCTGTTATATATTTTACAAATTATTCGGACGTATGTTTTGTTTTAGTAGTCTTTATTTGCTAGGGACAACATAATTTTGGGCAATATTTATCAAAAATGTTTTGTAAATTAGTTTCTTTTAATCACGTATATTAAAACAATATATCATATAAAATAATGTGCTATTAAAGAAAATAATATAATATTTATAAAAAAAACTCATGAAATTTATGTTAGTTTTGAAAAATTCGATAAAAAACAATTATTTTGCAATTATTGAGTACAGAAATGTTACTTACTATAATTACTCTAAATATATACCAAAAAGTTATTTTTTTTATCTAAAATATAGTTTTTTTTCTGTCAGATAAAAAAAAGAGATATGTATATATATGGGAAATTTGGTTGTATAACACAAAAAAAAAATTATATCTAAAAATCTAGCCAAAACTCTATATATGTGGCTAAATCTCACCCATTAGATCTAGGGTTTTTGATTAGTTTTATTTTACTATATTACTGATACAATTAAGGACTGATTGAAAATTTTAAAAGATTAATGAAATTATATGATATAAAAGCATGCTACTGGATCATAATTTGTATTATTTTCTTGTAATATATCTCTTTTAGCAGTACTAATCATATATTCATAAGTAGTAGTAGTATTGCTTCTTACAACATTTAATTTTTACAACTGGTGCCAGTGTGCTAGCAGTGTCCTAAAAACTCCTGATCAACCTCTAATCCAATCGTGTACTATAATAGCCTACATAATGGATTTTGACAAAATGCGCGGTATTTATAATTTACTATCAAGTTAAAAACCTGTTCCCGAGAATAGCATGAAGTTTGATTATATCTTCTTCTTCTTGAGGAGTGAATTTGCCTTTCTTGATCCCAGGTCTTAGATAGTTAAACCACCTTAATCTGCAGCTCTTCCCACATCTCCGCAAGCCTTTTTTCATCATAAATTTAAGATTAATAATAAGTTATATGATGTTTTGGTTTTTAGTATTAACCATTAGACAAAAACAGAATCATATAACTTGTAGTGTAAAATACCAGCTTTTTCCGGGAGAAAACGCCAGTCACCGATGCCGTACTGGTCGATGTAAGCAACGAGTCTCTGGTCTTCCTCCTCCGTCCATTCTCCTCTCTTGGTCCCGTCGGCTTCGAACCACGTCGCTCTCCCCATAATATTTTTTTTTCCCTATACGAGATATAATTTACCTTACGATAAGAGAAGAGCTATATATGATATTTAAATGAAAGACAATAATTTATAGTATCAAAGTATTGAGGGTAT